TGTTGCCAAAAACTTGGGCAGAAAGGACTAGGCTAGTGACAGAATAATTATTACATGCAGATATAAATGTAGGATCATGTTTCACACAATGATTTCAATGTACACGTGTTGATGGGGGAATTTTGCAAGTGATGCTACTAAAATTTTGAGAGTACATGTACATGTATAATTTAATGTATATTGTATGAATTGATTAAAATATTTTGTGCTTTTTATTTTTCTACAGATCATGAGATGGCCATTGCCTACTGAAATCTTATTTTTACTGGTCGCTTCAAATTTTTGGGACTTGTGATGTGAATTTTTAAGAGTAAACAATACTTGTAATTACATGTAAAGGTTAAATTTCATCTCTCTCTCTCTCTCTCTCCCTCTCTCAGTCTCATTATAAAAGAGCTGGTAATACCCAAAGACACTTGGCATTTTCTGCTGGAGTTTTCAAACAGGATTGATGACACCATGAGCAATTATGATGAAGATGGTAGGTCTATACTGTATTAAGTGTAATGTTCTCCTCTTTAAATAATTTGTATTTTGTACAGCACTTTAATGTATGGCAGCTTTATTTCTTTGTAAATTTTTTGATGATTTTATACATGTACATGTACAGCACTTTACTATGAACATGTACATGTACATTAATGATTGTATGGTGGGTTTATTATTCATAGGTCAGTATATACTCTAACTATGTACATGTACAAATTCCTCGGTTCTTCTTTGTGTCTGATCCAGCACTACTGGAGATACTGGGAAATATATTGGGTATCTAAAAAATACCCAAGGCTATAGCCCATGGTTTGTTCCAAAAAATGGCTCCAAAATCACCCCAAATTTTTATTACATTATCTGATACATATTAATGTCCTTATGCTGTGTAGAAAATCTGAGCTGATTCTGACTTCAGTTTTTCAAGTTACGGCCATTTCAAGAAAACACCAAAATTCTGAAAAATACCCAAGGCTATAGTCCATGGTTTTTTCCAAAACAATGGCCAAAAAGTCACCCCAAATTTTTAATACACTATCTGATACATATTGATGTTTTTATGCTGTGTAGAAAGTTTGAGGTCATTCCGACTTCAATTTTTCAAGTTACGGCCGTTTTAAGAAAACGCCAAAATTCTCAAAATTACCCAAGGCTATAGCCCATGGTTTTTCCCAAAAAATCAGCCCAATTTTTGTTACATTTACTGATACATATTGATGTCCTTATGCTGTGTAGAAAGTTTGAGGTGATTCCGACTTCAACTTTTCAAGCTAAGGCCATTTTAAGAAAATGCCAAAATTCTGAAAAATACCCAAGGCTATAGTCCATGGCTTTTTTCCAAAAAATGGCTCCATATCACTAAAAAGTTTTATCACATTATCTGATGCATATTAATGTCCTTATGCTGTGTAGAAAGTTTGAAGTGATTCCTACTTCAATTTTTCAAGTTACAGCCATTTCAAAAAATTCCAAAAATATCCAAAGCTATACACGTAGCTGTATTGGCTGTCTCAACTCCACTCCTCGTGCCATTATCAGCCATACAGCACTCTTTACTGTGCTATAACTATCATGTATTTGAAGTTGTGGCATTTGTTGAACTGCTAAATTTTATTTATTTATATTTTACAGGGAGAGGAAAAAAGCAGATAAGGAGAGAACAAGAGAGATAAGAGAACAGAGAGAGGCCCTGAAGGAACACTTGGAACTAGTCCAGGTGCCCAGAAAAATCAAAGAAAGGAACAGGAAGAACAGAACAAATAGAACAAGGACATCAGTACAGTATTATATGAATGAGAATTACTTGAGTTAAAAAGTAGCTTAAATTTATAATGAAAAAAGTTTTTGATCTTGACTTTAATGGAAGAGAGAGAGAGAGACAAATC